AGTAAATGGCCGGGCTTTCAGCATCTGCCAAGGGTTATCGTATAATCCCCCCTCTTCAATCGCTGATTCCTCCATATGCTCCTCTACACATCTTTGTCATTTAGTTTATCTGACAGTTCCTATGAAGGTGTTTCATAGGCTTCCATCAGTCCAATGGCACTATTGAAAGTTTGTGCTACCTTTTTACTCAAGATTTTCAAGTAAGTTTCTGTCTCTTCGGTTTTTTAGTCTTCTATGCCCAGTGGTCTTATTGTGGGTTTGCCTGAAGCCTTATATAACACCAGTTTTATATTCCTCTATATACATGTACCATGTAACATTACACTTCATATAGATGCCCTGAGCTCCCAATGTTAGGTGGGATCTGACTTAGTGTACCTAAGATTACAGATGCCCAAAACCCAACCAATCAGCAAAAGATAGTTACTATAATACAGGTATAATTTTCAAAATTTGTCATCTGTGGAAATTGAACCTTAGACCTACCACTTGAGAGTTGACAACCTATCTACTTCACTAGGTCGCCACATCTTTGTAATTGTTTGTTTATAACAATATTAAGTAATTATAATTATATAATAATTTAATTTTAATTTAAGTTTTAATACTTTTGTATACTACAAATAACTTTATATTTTTATATCTAATATTTTATTTAAAATAAGAAATACATTGATTAAATTATTTATTATTACTTAAAGAATCTTTTATAAATAATATATAGTTTATATATAGAATATGCATATGTAGTTAATTAATTTAATTTTTATTTAATTATATAATTCATATATATATAACAAGTTTAATTCATTAACAAAATAAACAATACTTTAAAATAGATTGCATAAGATAATTAATAATTAGAAAATATTTTTACAAATATGAAACATTTGTTTCTACATTTAGATTCTTAATACAAGCTTAATAATTATATAATATTCTTGGTTAAGCATAATTATATTGCATGATTATATATTTGAATTTTATTTTTATTATATAAAATACATTTAATTTTATAAAATAAATAGATCCTCTTTTATGTTTAGTAAAATATAAATTTGTTCTTGTATATATTATTATTAAAAAATTCTTTAGTATAATAAAATTTTTAAATATAAATTTTTATCTTTTATTTTAAAATCATTGTACAGTACCAAGCATTAATTTTTTCAAAAATGCTAAATTTTAAATTATATAATAATAATCAAATTTAATTGGTCAATTTTTGCAAAATAAATACTGATTGGTAAAAAAAATATATTATGAACTTTCAGAAAATTGTGACTCAGTTACTCCACAATCCAGAATCTAGCATAACTAATGATAAGTAATCTTATAAAAAAAGTGTGTTAAATTTAACTAGTAAGTGATTAAGACTTCAGTTACTTGAGGCTAACAAAATCAGATAGATAAATCATGTAATAAAGAACTTGAACAAATAATAATTTTTATAGAGTTATAGAGTTTATACTAGTAATAGTGTAATATTATGAACAATTTACAAAATTAAAACTTATTATTTAATAAAACAAACAAGACATACTTCCTTAGAGTTATTTCAACCTTTATTTATAATACCTAATTTTGTCTCTTACAAATGCAACTTTTCATTTAATATTTAATAAACTATATAAAAATTATTTACAATTATTTTCTTTAATTTTTTTATGAATGTTTAGTTTGTAATTGCATCCTCCCTTATCTTCCCAAATACTATTCTACATCTGAATGCTGTTTCTATACAAAATGTAATAAATTGCACTTCATGCATTTTTCATATAATTAGATCACGTTTTAGGACTCACAATATGTCATGCCTCAGACTAAGATGAAAGCTACAGACACAACACTCACGGGATAATCCAGCCAGTGTTGTGCATATAAGCCCTTAACCTTAACTCTAGCGCTAATTCTGGTCATTGTTGTGCAAATAAGCATCTGAAATGTTGTGTCCGTAGCTTTTTCCCAGACTAACACCTGCCTCAGATCACAACTGATGCATCTCAGATGCAGATTGCCAGATGAGGTGCATAACATCTAAGCTGTAATCTGACGAAAGAGTAAATAAATTGACTTGGAACTCTTATTCTCAGTTTCTTGAATCTCTTCACCATTTTCTCACTAGTAGCATTTTTACTTAAATCATTTTGGTGCCTTTCTTAACTCCAGTAGTATACTATATTTTGAATCACTTTGGGACCGTCTTACCTCCAATAGTATTCTTGATCTCTGGTATTTAAAACCAAAAGTAGCTTTCTTTTACATTAAATCTGTCTCTTCAGCATCTCCGTTCTTTTTGAATTTCTTTGTCGGCATATTCTATTTCCAATTAATGCGTACATTATTTCTCTATACAATAGTTTTTTTTTTTGCCTAAATTTTCGCGGCATATTCTTCCTAAGTTTTTACAGCAGGTTCAATCTTCAATAATTTCTATACATATAAGTTTTTTGTGCTTATTGACCGATCGATAGGTTACGCACCTCACTTAACAATCTACATATGAGGTGCGTCAGTTGTTGTCTGAGGCAGGCGTTAGTCTGAGGCACAACATATAAACAATTTTTTTATATATTGAAAGCCAAAATTTTGATTACATATATCTTTAAGCTCTTATAACATTCTAATTTTATAAAAAAAAATAAAATCTAATCTAATAAAATTGTAGCTTAGACAAAAAGCAACAAAACTGTAAGATAGATTTTTTTTTAAAGTGATTGTTTCTGAGTTATAATATAGGAGGAACCTTTAACTCTGTGCAACATATAAAAAAATTATTTTACAATACCAGATCATTCCGCTAGTACGTATTATGATTATAATCCCACTTCATTTTTATTATAATAAAAGGTGTGGGTTATAATAATAACATGTACTAGCGGAATGATCTGGTATTATAAAATCATTTTTTTATATGTTGCACACCGAGTGAAAGATCAGTTGTGTAACATAGACGGTTCCTCCAGTTGAGTTATAAGCATTTTTAATATTTCTTACTGTCCGGTACTGTAGTCACATGGTGCATTATGTTTAGATTACTTTGTATAAGAATTCTTTTAATTATGTATTGGCCAATTATATAATTAGAGTGTTTCAATTAATTATCCCTTCCCTTAACCCCAATTAATTATCCCGTAAACCGAATATTTTAGCGTATGAATTTGTTCGCCAAAAATTTTAGAAGAAAATTGAGCTCTAAAAATATATATATGTTCTTTTTTTGTATGTCGCTTCTAAACATTATATTAAGATATTTGAATCACGCAAAAAAATATAACTGATGTTTAGGGTGATATTAGGACAGTTAGAAAAAAGAGTCATCGTAGATTAAAAAAGGGAAGAGTCATCGGAGGCTAAAAGGAAAGGAATGTGTTAAAAAGAAAAATACATAAAAACATCAAATAAATAATAAATAAATACCGCCATAAAAAAACAAGGGTAATTTGTTCAATTTCTCTTCAATGGATGCAATTTTAGTTTTAAGTAAATAATTTTCAGATTCGAGAGCAGAGAGCCTAGACTAATTGATAATAGCGATAGTTTGTTACGATGCGTTTTATTTAACACACTTATACATCTTTAAAACTAACCTGAGTTACGGAATCGAGTTGCTTATATTTGTCCTCAAGAGAACAATTTTCGAACTCTAGTGCGTTGACTTTTTTCTAAAGGTAATATCAATCGATTAGCTTGATCATTGCGAAAGTTAAATATGAAATATTGATATGATGCATTAAATCATTTGAACTATGTATATAGGTACTACACAAAAAATGTGCTGTAATTTGAGCGAGCATTTACCAAAGCCAACGCTAACATTATTACAACAATGTTAGGGATGTTTATGTAATAAAATTCATGCCCAGAGTAAATCACAGAGTATTATGTAAGATACCAAAAATTTGGCCATCAAGTGCCACTATAATACTGCGACATTACTGGTTAGTTTTATGGTATGTTTAGATCAGTGTTGGTAGAAATAGATGAATAGAATAGAATTTAGAATAGATTATAATTAGATATCAATATAACAATAATAAATAGAATAATATAATAATAGAATAGAGCAATAGAAATTAGAATAGGATATAATTTTTATCAATAGAACAAGAAATTGATAACACTGGTTTAGATGTATCAAAAAAGTAGGTGTAGGAGTATCAAAAATGTAAGTTTGCCTGGGATCCTTGTTCTTCAAGACTAACGTATTAAAGATATCACCTTAAAAAATTTTGCACTCAAAATCCTGCTATGAAACTACCCACGGGTAATTGAGCCCAGTGATATATTCATGACCATCACGTCACACGATTAAACATTCGGCCAAAATTAGGGTTAGTGTTAGAGTTAGGTGTATCATAGTTTAGGCCGATTTGTTAGTACAGTAAATCTCCATATATGCACCCCCTCGGAACCGATCATAAGTGTGCATTTATAGAAAATAGTTTTATAAGTGTTATTATTAGTTGGAACTGTGCAATTATAAAGGGTGTGCATATATAGAGCGTGCATATATAGAGGTTTTACTGTACTAGAAAACAAATGACGTCATTGCATGCTTCCACGTATTACTGAGTTCCGTGATCAAGCACATAGCTTTGTAATTGAGTATATATTATACCAGTGTTGACAATTTCTTGTTCTATTGATAAAAATTATATTCTATTCCAATGTTCTATTGTTCTATTTATTTATTGATATGTTAATATCTGCTTATTCTATTGTTTTATTCTTCTATTGCTACCAATACTGAACTGATTATGGCTAATGTTAAAATTAGGGTAGAAATTTTGAATCAAGGACAAGGTGTAATTTATAAGCAAAATTTCAAATTTCATAATAAAAAGTTACTGATTGTTGGCGTCTGATCAGGAAAAAAGGTTGAATTAAATCTGGGTCCAGATAAGGCCTTTCGAAGTTGATTCTTCGGTTAACATCATGCCCCCAGCTGAAGGCCCCCCGAAAATGAACAACCAATCAAACCGCTGGATAACTCTTACCACTCTTGATTTACATCGACTAATCAAATTGTCACATATTTGTTCATTCTATATGCTCGTTTAATTTTACCCCCCCACCCCCCCTCTCTCCCTCTCTTCCAAGAGTTCTAAAAGTGATGTTAACCGAAAATTCAATTGCAAGCGGCCTAATTATATGCAACTTAGCACATATTATCGTTAAAACAGATCAGTATGAATAAGTTAACCAAATTGGTATCTAGTATAATTACTCAGTGTATCCTTTGATTCGGGCAGTTAAACTGTTCTAAACTATCATTTCATATAATGGCTTTGCATTATTACCTGAAGCTCAGTAATTTGGTCTTTTTGATAGGATCTGTCATTATATATCTTCTTTTGAAGTTTTTTTAGTTCATTCGAAAAATTTTCACCGTTGTTATTATTTTGCTCCATTGCTAATAATTCAAACCTGAAATTCAAACCAGGAAATTTTATTTATTTTTATACATAATGAGTGACAAGTCGAGGATTTTAGTAAATACAGTAATTTTCAGTAAAACCAGTGATTTTTAGCAATTTCTATAATTTTCAGTAATTTTCAGTAGTTTTCAGTAACTTTAGCAATTTTCAGTTATTTAACCAATTTTGGACAATTGAATATTCTCGAATATTGTTCTTAATGTTGAAACAAAAGGAAAATTTCCATTTCTATGTAGCGGCAGACTCCGAGTGTATCGGCTTAAAAACAAAATGCAAAAAAAACTCAAATTAACAAATATGCGCAAGGATGTCATTTTAGTATTGCAGTGTGAGAACCCAGACTTAATGAATTACTATCATTATGATCGGCTATGAGGTTTCATTATGCAATATTCATTTAGATTAATATTGCGATTATCGTTGCTTGATTTGTAATTTATCGCTATAGTGATGTATCGCTATAGTGATGTATCGCTATCCGGGTCTATGTCAAAATCCTGAAAGTCAAAATTCCAAACCTTAGTTGTCGCGTTGTGTAATGTCTGAGTTCCGATGTTCAATCTCCGCTTTGGATTAGTAATGTATATTACTAATCAAAAGTGGAGCTTGAACTTGGAACTCCGACATTACACAACGCGACAACTAAGTTTCAGGGGGTAGCGATACATAGTTATAAAGATAAAAAATAATATCCAATCTTTTTATTCAGAAATAGAAAATTCAATTGTTTTAATTCGCAAATAAATACGTAAAAGCGTTTGTTTAGGTTATAGTACAAACTAATCAATGTGATGCATAATTGTCCGGATCGAAGCGGAGAATTTATTCTATACGCTTTATACGCTTTGTGTTACTAATTAGAAAGTAGTTTATGTAACAAAAACACGCATTCTTATGCGATTTGTGTTCCTACAATGAGTATACATTTAATTAAACTTTCCAAATCAATTTTTTGTTTAACACATATGGCGAAAATTTTAGTGGAGTGCCATAACAAAATGATAGTTAATCTGTTCAGAATACTCATACGTAAAAACTTATAACAAATCAATTTTGGGTTATTTAGCTATTCTGAACTACTCATAAAAACTTAATAAGTAACTCATAAGTAATTCATAAGAAATTTAACAATCACTGACAAATAATCACTTTTAATTGTAGTAATCAAACTGTATTATTGGCTCAAATTCTTAACTAATCGCATAATTTAAGATTTCCGCCCACATGATATCATAAAATAGTCACATAAGAGTGGGGATATACTTGCCGCCCAAATCCCAAAGTATTATAGTTTGGGTTTGTTCGCGCCCAAATTAATATCTCTAAAACTTTATTAATAATCTTTATTTGAACATATATATATATTCTTATAGCTATATAATATATTTACCAAATATCAAAATTGGTTTGTTGATTTAATCTTTTATAAAAGCGATTTGTTTTTTTGAGGTTTGGGATTTCCCCAGGTTTAGCCAGCAAGTATAAGTATACAAATTAATAAAAATACAGTAATTCTATTGGCTGTAAAAAATATAACGTTAGTACTGCAATTTGATTAATTAATATGATGGTTTTTTTTACCTAAAATGTTAAAAAATGGAGTTTTGTTAAACAAAAATTGAATTGGTTTGGTCTTATTAATACATACTAGAATAATCCAATTTGGCATGCTATTGATTAAATTCGTGAAGACTATGGCATCCCGTTCTTACAGAAGGGCTGCTTTTAAAGGTTGGTATATTTTTTGGAGGCGGCCTTATTAATAAATTAATGGTTAATATAATACAGTGATTTAACTTTTTATAATACTTTTTTTGCATAATTGTGTATTATGCATAACATGCTTTTGAAGGATATACTGTATATGCAGTCTAAAGACATCAAAATTCTTGATAAAAGAAAGAATATGGTTTAATGGCATGATAAAGATTTGTCTTATTGGACGGATTTAATAATTGCAACTGCATTAAAGACGCAAGTATCAGCGTTAGAATATTCTAACTTTATATTTTAATTTTGGTCTGAATGAGTCCTACGTAGGTCAAATACAATCCAATGAGATGAATGGATCCCGAAAATAAGTATGCTTACCTTAAATATTCAAAATCCATTGGTAACTTTCCGATTAAAAATTATCGTGCCTCTTAATAGCTATGTTCATCCCCACATTTAAGAATTACATGAGTTAATTATATATATATATTTCGATACATTAACTATTTTAGTTAATCCTGATTTTTTCGACTGGAGTTTCACCGGAGAGCGCCTCAAGATGACACCTTTGAGAGTCTGTGGCTGAAATTTAATCGTGATCATAGAACGGTTTTTGTCTTCCAGCATAAATCGAACCTGTGACCTTGCGATTGGGGACCGGGAGCGCAACCACCACGCTATCGACCTACGGAAATGTAGTAAACGTTTACAATAAAGCCCTTTACAACTATAAATGTATCTGTCTATTCATAAATTTTAACGTTAATGCAATGATTTAAATTAATCTAAAACATGTATTTATTACGACAAATTTTTGCCATAAAAGGAAATTAGTGGTTTTGTCATACCTGATACATTGAATTTGCCGTTTAGTAATTTTCAGTAATTTTCGGAGAATTACTGAAAATCCGTGAAAATTACTGAAAATCACTAAAAATTGCTGACAAAAATTATTGATTATAAATAATTTGATTTTTTTTCTATAAAATGACTTCGCTCTAGCTATACATCCTTCATAACTCATCTTACAAACCAAACCAGACTATGTAAGCATTTTTCTGCTCTATTAATCTATATAAATGACAAACAAGAATGTCAAAATTGCAAGTGGAATTAATTTAACCGATTCAACAACCAATTCAATATAAATCTCACCCTAAATGACTGTCGCTGCTGATGCTGAAGATTAGGGACACCGATTTAAAAACATAAAACCCTGCCAAAATCAACATATACTCTTTCATTATCAAAACTAACCTACCGTACAACGTAGACCAAAAGGCCCCTTTTTATAATACCCCTCACGATTTTCGGAGGCCTAAAATGTAAAGTACCCTGGGTACTAAGGACGGATTAATTGCACTTGTGAATGTAAAATATCCGGGTACTAAATATGAATTAATTGCACTTAGTATCTAAAATATTACTGCAGCACTCATATAGTGTAACTTATACCCTCCTACGCTGATCATAAAATCCCTCCGACTATAATACCCATAATACCCATAATACCCATATATATAGCTTAAATTGGGAGTACCCTGGGTATTTTAGTCCACGCTGTACGGTAAATCCTAACCTAACGGCAAAAAAAAGCCAAAAAATGCCCCATAAATTTTGAAAATTTCATATTGAAATATTTAAAATTTCCAGCATCAGCCGCGACAATAATTTATTACTCGGTTCATGTTATACTTCCATATTGTTTTTAAAATAATATCAGCATTCCATAAAGTTTATTTTTATTATAGTCACAAGACTTCGGCTTTCTTCATTTTTTCTATTTTCTTGGCCAGAACCTTTTGCGCTTCATTAGCAATTATACCAGTTTTAAAAAATCGTAACTATTAGATGTATACCGTAAAACATCATTTAAAGTACTCTATGAGAGGGTACATTACATGGAAAAGTCTATGCAGTCAACGCTCGAGATAACGAATTTTACATAACGAATATTTTGAAATAAGGAAATTTTTTTGCCTCGTAATTGTTTTTGAACACAAAAATTGTCTTCCGATAACCGAATATTTCTATATGGCGATATTTGCTTCTCTTTTGGACGTTGGCTAAGTTACCAATGCTTTTACAGCTGTTGTCAAAAAGGTGTGAACAACGATTTCTACATACCTATGTGGGAAATCGAAGAATCGTGAAATTCTGATTAGTAAAAATTGAATGCATTAGCACTGGTTTGGAGAACTGGGAAATTACAAGCTATGGTGATCAAGTAAAGAAGGCAAAATATATTGTTTAGTGTAGGGGTACAATACAAAATCACTCATAAAAGGTTGGAGGATATGTTTACATAGGGCACTTAAATGGCGTTTTACGGTAGTTAAAAAGAAATATAAATAGGCACAAAAAAAAAATCGTATAGAAGTATGAATAAGAACCGATGAATAAGTTTGGAACTTCGGTAAAATGGAAATTATAATACTGGATGACTATCCGTAGCATAATTAATGGTTATCTTGTGGGATTTTAAATATAATACAGAAGATTTTTTAAACTGCGATATACAGTCCACTCTCGTTATAACGGACTTCGTTATAGCGGATACCCCGTTATAACGGAAATTCAGCTCAACCACTACGTTATAACGAGGGCATCTACTCTCGTTATAATGGACTCTGCTATAGATGACATCTCGTAATAATGGAGCAATTCTCTGGAACAATTTAAAATCATTATTATTATGTATCGCTATAGCGGATATTCATTATAACGTACAGGAATTTCTCGCTACATTATAATGAGAGTAGACAGTATATTATACTTAACATTGGTGCTTCAAATATAAAAATATTAGTGCAGAAATCTTATTTATGCCACTAATCATTTTATCAAATATTAAATCTTGTTTCTGTTCTTTGCAGGGACAGCACATACCAAAGTTTTAGTGAAAATGAAAATGCCCTTTTAAATAAGGTTTCCTCTCTCGAATCCGAAATCTCATCTCTTAATTCTAAAATTGCCTCTTTTGAAGAGAAATTTAACCAACTATCTGAATTCTTTTCCGCTATTTCTTCTGATCTTTCGGATGCTTCGCCTTTTTCTTGTGATTCAGTTCGTATTTACCTATCAGTTATTGTTATTATATTGTATTTAGATTATTTTTAAATCTCTTAACCATTTTATTCTCTCTTTTTTAGAGTTCAAGAAGTTCACTGCGTCAAATTTATTCCAATACAAGTCATTTATGATGCAGATTTTAGTTTAAATACCTGGGGTATTTGGCAAAAATACCCTGACCGTATGTGTACAAGCGCCGTTTCCGTATACTAAACGGACGTATACCCAACGGATCAGGGTATTTTTATTAATAATATATTCAGTAATTTAGCATAACTATGTGCATTACATGTAGTTTTCTTATGTGATTAAGAAATTTTATTTTTCTAAATCATGTGCATTACATGTAGTTTCTTATGTGATTAAGAAAATTTATTTTTACTATATATCGTTTATTATTCTGAGTGATCATCACCAGTATATAATATAAAATAAATCTTTATTCTTTGGGGTTCCAATAAAAAAAATTTCGCCGTGAAATTCTGAGTATAGCCCTTCCTTTATTCTAATTTAAGCTTTTAACCTTACCCCTAAATATTAAAAAATTTAATTTTAATTATTGTAACTGGGCGCTTGAGTTGCTTAAAGGGAGTTAGAAATGCCTGCAGTGTATCGATTGCACTAGTGCATTAAGTATCAAATTTAATTTAGTTTGACGCATTTTTTCTTGCGTACTTCCGAATAAACATTTATGCATTTATATTTATATTAACGGGTCTTGAAAAAGTATAATCGCGTACTAAATTAAAACCCATTGATTGTTATCATCGTAACTATAATATACAAATAAGTAGATATATTGTTAAATACGATTAACATTGCTTTGGCATTGTTATAAACGTTTGTAATTTATTGATTAAAGTACATATATTTACTTCAGCAATTTGTTAACTATGAGGTTTTTTGATCGCATCTCTTACCCAGGCAGATTTAGCCAGTGAGTTTAAGATTATCTATTAAATTATGGATAATTTATTGGTTAAAATTTTGTTGCTTAGAGAATTGATTTTTTTGGATTCATTTTTTTATGTTGAAAATTTTAATGTAATAAGACCGGTTCAGAATGTTACGGTTACCAGATTCAAGTATGTCCAGATTCAAATATGTAGTCGGTCATGTTATTGAATTGTATGTCAATAAATCAAAATTTATTACAATGTGAATGTGTTTAATTTAATAATTTATTCTATTAAAGATATTCTTTCATTTGATGAAAGGCACTATTAAGTTATTTGATTTTTTTTCAAGTTATTTTTATTGAAAATTATTGCTCACCTTAAAGATATTATGAGTTACAGAAATTTTACATGGTAAAAAAGTATTATCAGATGGTTTTAGGTTTTTTTGTTATAGCAGTAGTTGCACAAATTTATTTTTTAACATTTTTTTTAGGAAATAAATGAAGCATAAACAATTGATCAACATTAATTACTAAAATACTAAAATTTTTCTTAAAAACAATCTGAATAAAAATTAAACAATTTAACATTATTAGATTTAAAAAAAAGCTACTTGATGGTCTTTGACATATATAATATAGATATGTTAACTGATTTTAATCAGAAAAATCATACTAGCAAAAAGGTTAGCCTGATTAACTAGTTTGAGATTTTTTAGAATCAGTTATAACTCATAATTTTTTCATTAACTCATATCACTAGTATTTACTTGTATATAATATATTGTAAAAAAAAAAAAATCTATTAAGAACTTACAAATTGTATTAACAAACAAAATATTTAAATTGACTAGAATTAATGTTTGTTATAATAATTACTTTATGTAATATATTGTAATAAAAAAAACTTATTCATTATATTAACAAATAAAATATTTGAATTAGTTAAAATTAATATTTATTAAAGTATTTACTTGTATATAATATACTATAAAAAAAAACTTACTTACTATATTGATAAATAAAATATTTAGATTGGTCAAAGTCCAAATAAATAATTAGAACTAAATGCATTTTAAAAAAAATAATAATTTAAAAAAAGATAAATTAAGATAATATAAGACTTATTGTTATTAAAAAAAAAATCAAAAAATTGTAGTTTTTGAAGAGTATTAATTTTATAAATATATTGTTGTAATTTATTATAATCTATTAAAATAATTTTCAGACTAGTTTTATTAATTTAATTTATATAATATGAAGTTTGAGATAAGTATTGTATAAAAAATTAATAAGTGGTCTTGTTATTAATTTTTTTAGTTTCATTTTTGTAAAAAAAATTATATATAAATTAAATTTATACAATATTTAATATAAGTTTGTATTTTTGATATATTATTAATATTTCTAATATTGTAAGCAGTTATATTAATTTTTTTATTTAGATTAAGTTCAAATAAGTTTAATTCATTTTTATTTAATGCTAATTACAAAATATTATAAAAAAATATATACTTATTAGTTTTCTACTAAAAAATTCTTTTTTGTCTTTAATATTTGTATATTTAGTATTATATTAGTTATTTTTTAAACTTTAAAAATGTCAAAAAATAGTTTAAGTAAGTTTATTAAATCAAAGATGTATTTAAATATTATATAGTATAAAAATTGGTTTTAAAAAGTTTCTAATACTAAAAAAATCTTGTAATGTTTTTTAATAAAACATTTATATCAGTAATCTGTTTTTTTATTAAAACTAATTAAAATATTATAAATTGATAAACACTTTGTTAACATCTTTTTTGTTTTGTAAAAAAATATAAAATTTAATATTTTCAAATTTGTAAAATTCTAAAACAAGTATTTGTAAAAGATATTATAATTATCTGATAATGTTATAAATAAGTAGTTTATTTATAAAAATCTATTATATTTTTTAAAATTGATTTAGTCCTGATTACAAATATTAATTTTGCTATATTAATACTAAGTTAGCTATAAAAATAAATATAAAAAACTTTGAAAGATTTATTTTAAAAATAAAACAGTTTTAAAATTAATATAACAATTTAAACATAATTTAATAAAGTTAACATATGTTGCAGATTTAAAAAATTTAAAATAGAATATCCAAGCAGAGCTATTAAATATAACAATTGGTAGAGAACCTTTAGACAAACTTTTTAAATAAGTAATATATAAAAGTTATTCATACAATTAACTATATACTTTTTTTGTAATATTCTTTACAGAACCATATTACTAAAAAAGCATTAATAAAAGTCAAAAGATCAAAAAGGTTATTTTAAAAAAAATTATATCTTGATATAATTTGATTTAAGCAAATATTTAATTCAAATATTAGAATTTAATTTAATTTTAAAAAATTTGAATTTTAATTAATAAAAAATAAACTTAATTAAGTTTACTAAAATGCATCTATGATGCTGAACACCATAAGTACTATTTCTCAAAAATATACTAAGTAAATAGAATCTGATACTTTAAATAAAAATGTTTAGAACATATGAAAATCTTATGAAAACTAAAATCAAAACCTTATATATAATCTACATTATAATATATAAAACTCTTCTTTATTTTAAAACTGTACTTTAATTCTAAATTTTATTAATAAAATTTTATATGGTATTCAACATCATAGGTGCATTTTATAATTTTTGAACTTGATTTACAAAAAGTTTATTATATTAATTAATTTTAAGCTTTAAATAATATATTTTTTAAACAACATAATTCTAGTTTTATAAAACAAACAAGTTGATTGTCTTAATAAAATTTGCAGTAAATGGCTTATAATTTAAATATTCAATTATAAAATTTTAAATTAAATTAAATATTTGTCTAATCAAATCAAATTTGACTATATTTAAAGTTAATTTAATTTGAAAATTTTAAATTTAAATTTGATTTAAACTCAAATATTTGATCAAATCAAATTAAATTGTAAACTCTATTATATTTTTAATGAATTATAATTATTTTTAATTAAAATTTTTAAATTACTTAATTATATTATACTAAAAATTTTTAAAAAACTAATTTAAAGCTAATTTTAAAATAAATATTAATAGTATTGAAAAGCATAAAAATAAATTATTAATTTTAGAAAAAGATTTAAACTATTAATAATTTAAACTAAAAAATATTAAGTTCAATAAAAAATGATATTTTTAGACAAATAAAACATTGTATTTATAGTAGTATAGTGTAACAAAAGCAAATAAATTTTGTATTAAAAACTTTTAATTTATTATATATTAAAAATATTGAATGTAAAACAACTATTTATTTTTAACTTAAATAATAATATTTTCAAACTAATTATTTATTTAAAATAAATATTAAATATATATAACTATGTTGTTTGCTTCACAAAAGCCTATAGCTTTAGATATATAAAAACTGATATTCCTAATAAATATATTGAATTTTTTAAAAATAAACATTTACATCTTAGTTTTTTATACATATATAAAAACAGTCTTTATTTATATACAAATAATAATCAAGTGCTTATATAATTACTAGCTAATTATGCATTAAATTCTAATTATAGCTATGTTTTAAATTTGTTTAATAATTTTGTATTTATTATATCAAAGTAAAAAATAGTATATCTATATTTTAATAGCTTAAGTATAAAGTTAATTTTTATAATAGTTTTGAAAAAGAATGCACTATTTTTCAAAAGTATAATTTATATTTAAAAAAGGCCTTTATTCTTTATATAGTTACAAATTTAATAGTTCATATTCAAAAAAATTTAACAATTAAATGAAATTTGCATAAATGTTTTAGCATTATTTAAACTATTAAATATATTAATTATATTGGTTTATATTAGCTGTATTGTGAAGTATTGCTTCTTAATATTTTTATAATATCAAATTAGTTGCAAACACCTCTTAAAAATAAAATAAATATACTTAAATTAATTCTTTTATCTTAAGTTTTTTTTGGCTATTAATATAGTATTGGTTTAATAGCTTTTATTACTAATAATTCAAATTATAAATATAATATATTAGAATATTGCTAGTTATAATCTTAATGAGTATTATATATATTTTATTTTTTTAAATATTTTGATACAAGTTACATACTTCAAAACATAATATAAATAAAGTTTATAAAATGTCTATAATAAATATTATGAAAAATATATTATATATACTAACAGAAACCAAAATAATAGAAAGTTATAATGAA